CCTTATAGCTTATGATTTTGTAATTGCTAATATCTTATTTAAGAAAAGAGATGAACATCTCATCACTTATAAGATTGAATATAGTAAAACTCATATTAATTATTTTCTTACTATTAGTTATTTTCTTTTAGGAAAAATAGATCATTTAGATTGCAAAGATTGTAAAGTTACTTTGAGTAAAAGTTTATGTACCTAGCATCGTTTATTATTTTGTGACTTTAAAATGAAGAGGCAAATTATGAAAAGTAAAGTAATGAATGGGCGAAATATGAAAAATAAAATAAAATGTTCCAAGGAATAGAAGGGGGCATTTAAAGAATACTAACAAAAATATTTTTAAAAGTAATATTCAAAATCTTAAAATTTTGATTGTGAGTGAGAAAGTTAATATTACGTGGGAAGAAGTAGCATGTGATATTAAGAATGTTGTAAAGTATGTGTTTAGAGTATCAAAAGGAAAAACCCTGATAAAAAAATGGTGGTTGGAATGAAAATATGTATTAAAAGATAAAAATAAAAAGTTTTATTATAAAAATTAGTTTAGATGGAAAGCTCAGAAAATTGAGAAAAATATAGAGTAGGGCATAATGAGTCTAAAAATGTAATATGCGATGTAAAGAATTTAGTTTTAAATGATTTATCTAATTGATTTGATATTAAGGAGGATGAAATATATATGTATGAGCTAACAAAGCAAAAAGATAGGATAAATAAGGATATAGATCAAGTGAAGTTTATTAAGGATGAAGATCAAAAGTATTTTTATTAGAAGAGAATATTCAACATATATGAATGAGACATTTCGACAAGTTTTTTCAATGAAGATTGTGAGAATTCGATTAATTTTAGTGACCTTAGTACCCTAGATGAAAATAAGGATTTTTATTTTTATCGTCGTATTAGTGGAATCAAAGTTGGAGAGGCTTTAAAAAAATAAAATTTGAAAAATTGTTGGACATGATGATATTCCAATAGAGATGTGGAAATGCTAGGAGATGTATGAATTTCTTGGCTTATGAAAAATTTTAATATTATTTTGAAGACAAAAGATGCTAGTTGATTGAAGAATGAGTGTGTTGGTTCATATTTTTAAGAATAAAGGTGATGCACAAGAGTGTGTGAATTATAGAAGAATTAAGTTAATATGTCATACATTAAAATTATGGGAGAGTGTTATTGAGCATAAGTTATGACGTGATATTAATATCTCAAAATCAATTTGTATTCATGTTGGGTAGTTCTGCTATAGAAGCTATACATTTATTGAGGGTTTGATGGAGAAATATAGAGAGAATAAGGAGGATCCACATATGATATTTATTGATTTAGAAAGCATATGATAAAATTTTAAGAGAAATATTCTGGAGAGTTCTAGAAAAGAAAAGATTTAATAATGTGTATATTCTAGTCATTAAGGATAAGTTTTAATCACATATCTTTTTGTTGATGATATTCTTCTTGTTGATAAGACTAGAGAAAAACTTGAGTTATGGAGATCAACTTTAGAGTCTAAAAGGTTTTTGTTTGAGTGGATCTAAAATCGAATACATGGAGTGTAATTTTAGTAGTAATAGATATAGTGGGGGGAATATGATTTTGAGCAATCGAGACATTAAAAGAGTGCACGTTTTAGATATCTCGGATCTGTTGTTCAAAGTGATGGTGAAATAAATGGGGAGATTATTAATAGAATTCAAGTTAGATGATTGAAGTGGAGGAATGCATCAGTTCTGTTGTGTGATAGAAAAGTATTCCTCAAACTTAAGAGAAAATTCTATAAGATGGTGGCGAGACTTGCAATGCTTTATGGTGCAAAATGTTGTCTATTAAAAGAGAGGCATAAAATTAAGTGTTGCTTGTAGAGATGAGGATTTTTATACGGATGAGTGGCTTCACTCTTGGAGACAGAATGCAAAATGAGTGGTAGGTAAGATGGTTTGGTCACATAAAACATATTTTTTTCGATGATGTGGTTAGGAGTGTAGATGTATTATATTTTGCCTATGTTAAAAAAGGTAGATGTAGACCTAAGAAGCTTTGTTAGATTTAAATGAAAATTTGGCTCCTAAAAGGACATAATGGAGAAAAAATGTTTATGTATTTTACCCCACATAGTGAGATAAAAATTTGATTGTTTTATATTTGTTTTTTTTTATATTTTGATCAAAAAATTGTTACGATGAATTTCAAAATCTTTAGATTTATTTTGAACTGAGTGCATTATTAATCATCTATGTATTGTGCTTAGCTTAAAATTTTTTCTAAGAGTTTTGAAGCCTATCATAACCAAAATTTTGACTAGAATATCCTAACAGAATTTTTTTCCTAAATCATTTTATCATATAAATCACGCACTCCAAATTTCACATTTAAAATGATTTTATCATAAACCGTGCATGTGAAAAGCTAATAGTATATTTTAAAGGGATATTGTGGCAAAATTAAAGTTATGTTGAGATAGAATTATATTAAATGGAAGATGTTATTTTTATTGAAAATAAATTAGTATAATTGATTTAGGTGATTTGGACATAGAACAAAGGGTAACAAATTTATCTATAAAGAGTGCCCAAAAAACAAATAGAGAGATTTACATACATACCACTATATTCTTGTTATTTTACATATCTAACACCTAAAATATTAATATTACAGTTATACCACTCAAATCCCTATTTTATCTCAAATTTATCACTCCGTCTCCCGTAGAGCTCACGACGTCTTCTTCCTACTGAAATCCCCCTGAGATTTGAGGTAAACTAGGGATTTTGGTGATATAGCTATAATATTAATATTTGAGGTGTTAGATATGTAAAATAATAAGAATATAGTTATATGTATGTAAATCTCCCAACAAATTAATGTTGAATAATTGGGGTTTAAAAAAAAATGCTAGAAGTTGCACAAAAAATATTAACATAAAATAAAATTGACATTCTTAATTACAAATGTGAAATGAGAATTCTCAAGTCAGATAAGACTAATTATGATGATATTTAATCATGTAACCTTAATAGCGTGGGTGGCTGACTTTGTTGATATTGCAATAATTTCATGTGATTATTGGATGCTCATATAAGGTCACGTTAGTGTGACACTTTTTACTTGATCCTCCGAACTCACCCGATTGTTGTTTTTGCAGGAAGTAAAATTCTGAACCTCTATGATTTGATTGTTCTGAACTTGTTTCAGGAATGCAGCCTTCTTCTTTCTTTTCTTTTTTAATTTCTTCAGACAACTTTGCTTGTAATCCTACTTTTTTATATTGCGCAAACTAAAATAAGGTCTGATCGACACCAATTTGAGAATATCTTCTATTTGACTGTCTGATGATGATTTAAGAGATACATCGTTGCTTCTTTTTGTATTTTGTCTCGTCAATTTTGAAGTGCTTGAGACTTTGTTTCTGCAACTCTACATCTCCTGCATGTCACAAGCCCAGTATGTTTTGAGTTATTTAATCACCAATATTAGTTTTATTTAACTCAATTCCCTCTTTGTAATGCATTGAATTATGTGATTTTTTTTCTTTTTGTTTATTTTGGGTTTACGTAGTGTTGATTTTTCTAAGGAATAAAAATTTACTTTATAAATTGTAATATAGGGAGCAGCAAGATAATTATTTTTTGCTGTAACGCAAGTAGCAGGAAGATCTATAACAGGTTATGGAATTTAAATAAAATAAAGAAGCATTATAGTTCAAAAGAAAAAAAAATACAATGCATAAAATATATAGGGAGATGGAACAAGATTATCGGTTATTGTTCTATTCACTTTAAAACAATATATAATTTTTCGTGTTAGTCTAGTTAAATTTAAAAAATCATCAAAATTACTAGTGCTAAAAGTAATTTAAATTTTTTTAAAGATGCTAATAAAAGAATCATACAATATATATGAAAAATAGTTTGTAGCCTGTCGATTTGGTGGCATGTTCGGCCATTTTGGAAACCATGGTACCTGTCTGAGCATTGATGTGGTTTATTTTATTTTATTTAAATTATTTTTTTAATCAAAAAAATATAATCCATTTTAAATATTTTCCTTATCTTTTAGCATCTAGATATAGGTATCAAAATTTATAATTATTGAAAACATAAAACATTTATGTTATGATAAAAAAATTGAAATATGCAAACTATAAATTTAAAATAAAAATTTGAATTTTAATAGGATTGCTAGGGCTTGGTCTTAGGGCAAATTATTACGTCCGGTGTCTGAATTTGTTCGGACGTCAATCCAAACGCGTCACGTCATCAAAATACATCGGGTCCCAGTGTATTTCAGTGATGTGATGTATTTGGATTGGATATCCGAACGTCCGGTGATCGGACGTAATAATTCACCGGGTCTTAGAGAGATCAAGGGATTCCTATCGCATACTGGTGACTTGATTTTCTTGCCCCTCCCTTGGCATGAATGAATGTAAACGACAAGATTCTATGTTTGCCTATCATAATGAAGATTTTTTATGATCCGATTAGGAAATAAATATATTAGATGTGACTTATATAAAGAAAGGTAGAGGTAAATCTAAAATGACTTGGTCACAAAATATTAGAAATAACATTTCTTTATTAGATTTAAATGAGAATTTGTCTCTTAATAAGACAATGAAGAAAGAGGATTCATGTAGCTGACCCATCATAATGGGATGTATATCATGATGAACATTAGCTCTTTTTTAGGATCCATCATTTATTTTGCTAATTTTGCTAGGAACTTTGTTTTGCCACTATGGAGTTGAAGGACATGCAAAAAACTCATTGTAAGAAATTATCTCAGAAGCTTATCGATCCACTTGCGATAAAATGTCGATTTGATCTTTTTGATCTTATATTTATCATATATTTACTAGTAATGAATCAAAATCATTGAAAAGTAATTTACGAGAATAATACAAACATTACATGAATATATATCCAATTTCTATAAAAAAAATTGAATAATTTGTTTGCATAAACATTCATAATTGATTGGAAAATGCTAAGGTGAAAAAAAAAAAAAAAATCCCGTTCCCAAACATATTTCAAACTGTAAAACTCATATACCGTTAACATAAGAAAACAAGTATTATATTTGTAGAATAAAACACATAAATCCAAACTCAATCTCATTTCATTTGTAGCCAGTAAAGAAGATTTTGATGCTTAGACTTTTGCTTCAACCTTGTTCTCCGACAAGCCCAGCCTCTGCCTGAAGTCCTCTTCCATTAGAGGAAGGCCTTGGCGTAAACTGACCTTAGGTTCCCATCCCAGTAATGTCTTCGCCTTGGTAATGTCCGGTTTCCTCTGGCGAGGGTCATCAGGAGTATTCTCCACTCTCTTCACAGTCACTTCCGGATTAATTAACTTCATCAGAAATTTAGATCCATCAACTCGTCATTCATTTCATGCCAAACTAGTTCAACTTTTAAGAGAATGCAACAAATTTACCTCTTTCACAGTTTCAGCTAGTTCTATCATTGTGAATTCACCTGATGCATATAAATGAAAGATTAATCTCTCTCTCTCTCTCTCTCTCTCTCTCTCTCTCTCTCTCTCTCTCTAACTTGTTGTCTATGTAGAACAAAATTATTGAGATTCATAAGAAATTAAAACATTACCTGGATTTCCTATGTTGATAGGACCAATATTATCTCCTTCCATCAATCGGATGAGACCATCAACCTTTACAGTTGCAAATGATATAGATTGTATTATGGGAAAAGAATTTTTTAGTAGGCATAGAAAACAAGGCATGTAGCAGCCAATAGTTAGTGTTTTACCATATCAGAAACATAACAGAAACTTCGAGTTTGAGTACCAGGTAATTGAACTGTTAGCGGTTCCCCTCTGCATATATCAAAGATTATTAACTAGCTGAATTAAACAAAACACAACAGTATTCCGGTACATTGCCTATTTGCCTGATATTATATACAATAAGAATTAGAAGATAAAATTATAGAAGATTACCTCAATGCCTGAGCAATAAAGTTGCTGACAACACGACCGTCGTCTATGTTCATGCGAGGACCGTATGTGTTAAAAATTCGAGCAATTCGGATTTCTATTACAATATCAAAACTTAGTAAGTGGGTGTTTTCACATAGATGCATATATCATCAAATTTATAATTGGCTGATAAGAGCTTCTCACCAATCCCATGTTGTCTATGATAATCAAACATTAGAGTTTCTGCCACACGTTTCCCTTCATCATAGCAACTTCTAACACCTAAAGAATAATACCAATCATTTTAAACAAAAATAATGAGAGCAAAGATGCATTCTTATTACCCTTGGTTAACCTTTTTTTTTTTTTTTTAAAGAGAAGAGTATTATTGCCATTTAAGAAAGATGGTGAATCAAATGGTCAACGCAATTTACTCGGTAGACTAAGGCAAGATTCTACAAACAAGTTTGAGTAAGGTGTTCGGAAGATATGATTAATATGACATGATTCACAGTATAACCTTTAGTGAAACTTACCTTATAGCTTAGGCAGTAAAAAAGTTACTACCCCATTAAAACCATTTTCTTATTGAGTTGAAGCTGAACTTAAATTTGACCATATTAATCATAACTCAATAGTAGGTGTTTCATATGTTCTTCAAACTTTTTTGTGTTCTTCAAACTTTTTTTATTTTTCAAAATTTTTTTATTAACTTTTTAAGGTGTTCAAGCCATAATTTAGCCTAAGTAAAATAGAGTTGTTGATACTAAACAGGTAAGCTCATTGTCAAACATAAATGGATTTATAGTTTGCAAAAAATTCCATAAACCACCATATTACTTTTCATTTTTCTTAAAATTTAAACATTAATATAAATTAAAATAAAAGTAAATACAGACTTCCCACAAATTATGGGAAATGAGTGGTGATATAATTATAGAGATTATTACCCCTCATTTTAGATAGTTTATTTTGATGATTAGAGCTATAGCATTGCCTCACATTGTTGACAACTTGAATGTTACTCAAATACTTTTCCTCAAATAAAATATTGAATCGAACCATTTCGCTATTTATTCAATATAATTACACCTCTATTAACAGTCAACATTTTTATAACTCGATAGTATGGAAGAATGTTGATCTAAAAAAAGATATGAAAAATAGTTTGTAGCCTGTCGAATTGGTGGCATGTTTGGCCATTTTGGAAACCATGTTACCTGTCTGAGCGTTTTTAAATTATATTTTTATAAAAAAAAAACATAATCCATTTTAAATATTTTGCTTATCTTTTAGCAGCTAGATATAGTTATCAAAATTTATAATTATTGAAAACATAAGGCATTTATGTTATGATAAAAAATTTGAAATATGCAAACTATAAATTTAAAATAAAAATTTGAATTTTAATAGGATTGATAGGGCTGGGTCTTAGAGAGATCAAGGGATTCCTACCGCATACTGGTGACTTGATTTTCTTGCCCCTCAGGCATGAATGAATGTAAGCAGCAAGATTTTATGTTTGCATATCATAATGAATATTTTTTATGATACGATTAGGAAATAAATATATTAGATGTAGCTTATATAAAGAAAGGTAGAGATAAGACCTTAAATGATTTGGTTATAAAATATTAGAAATAATCTTTTTTTATTAGATTTAAATGAAAATTTAACTCTTAATATGACACAATGAAGAAAGAGAATTCATATAGCCGACCCAATGTAATGGGATGTATATCATGATGAACATTAGCTCTTTTGTAGGATCCATCATTTATTTTGCTAATTTTGCTAGGAACTTTGTTTTGCCACTATGGAGTTGAAGGACTTCAGAGAAACTCATTGTAAGAAATTATCTCAAAAGCTTATCGACCCACTTGCGATAAAATGTCGATTTGATCTTATATTTATCATATATTTACTAGTAATGAATCAAAATAATTGAAAAGTGATATACGAGAATAATACAAACATTACATGAATATATATCCAATTTCTATAAAGAAAATTGAATAATTTGTTTGCATAACATGCATAATTGATTGGAAAATGCTATGGTGGAAAAAAAAAAAAAAATCCCGTTCCCAAACATATTTCAAACTGTAAAACTCATATACCGTTAACATAAGAAAACAAGTATTATATTTGTAGAATAAAACTCAATCTCATTTCATTTGTAGCCAGTAAAGAAGATTTTGATGCTTAGACTTTTGCTTCAGCCTTGTTCTCCGACAAGCCCAGCCTCTGCCTGAAGTCCTCTTCCATTAGAGGAAGGCCTTGGCGTAAACTGACCTTAGGCTCCCATCCCAGTAATGTCTTCGCCTTGGTAATGTCCGGTTTCCTCTGGCGAGGGTCATCAGGAGTATTCTCCACTCTCTTCACAGTCACTTCCGGATTAATTAACTTCATCAGAAATTTAGATCCATCAACTCGTCATTCATTTCATGCCAAACTAGTTCAACTTTTAAGAGAATGCAACAAATTTACCTCTTTCACAGTTTCAGCTAGTTCTATCATTGTGAATTCACCTGATGCATATAAATGAAAGATTAATCTCTCTCTCTCTCTCTCTCTCTCTCTCTCTCTCTCTCTCTCTCTAACTTGTTGTCTATGTAGAACAAAATTATTGAGATTCATAAGAAATTAAAACATTACCTGGATTTCCTATGTTGATAGGACCAATATTATCTCCTTCCATCAATCGGATGAGACCATCAACCTTTACAGTTGCAAATGATATAGATTGTATTATGGGAAAAGAATTTTTTAGTAGGCATAGAAAACAAGGCATGTAGCAGCCAATAGTTAGTGTTTTACCATATCAGAAACATAACAGAAACTTCGAGTTTGAGTACCAGGTAATTGAACTGTTAGCGGTTCCCCTCTGCATATATCAAAGATTATTAACTAGCTGAATTAAACAAAACACAACAGTATTCCGGTACATTGCCTATTTGCCTGATATTATATACAATAAGAATTAGAAGATAAAATTATAGAAGATTACCTCAATGCCTGAGCAATAAAGTTGCTGACAACACGACCGTCGTCTATGTTCATGCGAGGACCGTATGTGTTAAAAATTCGAGCAATTCGGATTTCTATTACAATATCAAAACTTAGTAAGTGGGTGTTTTCACATAGATGCATATATCATCAAATTTATAATTGGCTGATAAGAGCTTCTCACCAATCCCATGTTGTCTATGATAATCAAACATTAGAGTTTCTGCCACACGTTTCCCTTCATCATAGCAACTTCTAACACCTAAAGAATAATACCAATCATTTTAAACAAAAATAATGAGAGCAAAGATGCATTCTTATTACACTTGGTTAACCTTTTTTTTTTTTTTTTAAAGAGAAGAGTATTATTGCCATTTAAGAAAGATGGTGAATCAAATGGTCAACGCAATTTACTCGGTAGACTAAGGCAAGATTCTACAAACAAGTTTGAGTAAGGTGTTCGGAAGATATGATTAATATGACATGATTCACAGTATAACCTTTAGTGAAACTTACCTTATAGCTTAGGCAGTAAAAAAGTTACTACCCCATTAAAACCATTTTCTTATTGAGTTGAAGCTGAACTTAAATTTGACCATATTAATCATAACTCAATAGTAGGTGTTTCATATGTTCTTCAAACTTTTTTGTGTTCTTCAAACTTTTTTTATTTTTCAAAATTTTTTTATTAACTTTTTAAGGTGTTCAAGCCATAATTTAGCCTAAGTAAAATAGAGTTGTTGATACTAAACAGGTAAGCTCATTGTCAAACATAAATGGATTTATAGTTTGCAAAAAATTCCATAAACCACCATATTACTTTTCATTTTTCTTAAAATTTAAACATTAATATAAATTAAAATAAAAGTAAATACAGACTTCCCACAAATTATGGGAAATGAGTGGTGATATAATTATAGAGATTATTACCCCTCATTTTAGATAGTTTATTTTGATGATTAGAGCTATAGCATTGCCTCACATTGTTGACAACTTGAATGTTACTCAAATACTTTTCCTCAAATAAAATATTGAATCGAACCATTTCGCTATTTATTCAATATAATTACACCTCTATTAACAGTCAACATTTTTATAACTCGATAGTATGGAAGAATGTTGATCTAACATTAAGAACACAAATTTAGTCAAATAAATTAAATCAAACCGGTTAATTATTTATTCAGTATAAACTTCATCATATTTATGCCTTTATTAAAATACTACATTTTTATAACTCAATAGTAGGGAAGAAAGTTGAGTTGATATAAGAACATGAAACTAGTCAAATAATAAGCTCACTAAGTCATCATTAAATTAAGCCTTTTTCTCATCTCTTTACAAGCTACTTGTCAGAAAAAAAAAAAAAAAAAACATCTTCACAAACTTAAGTAAATGAGCAAATCAATGCCCAAGTTGGTTAGTTTATAAGCCTAACTTTCAAATTCTTTCCTGAGCTTGTTTAATCATATTAACAATCAAAAAAAGAGAAGCACATGATGAATAAATAATTATCGTTTTGTTCATCAAGCATAATAATTTTGCTTACAACTCTATGTATCAGACAATAATTTCTTAAAAAAAACAATTAGGCATATGGTAGAAATCACGCTTGATATAAAATACGCAGAATAATTGAAAAGCTAAAACCACTAAAGAAGAAAACTATTGCAAAACAAGTAAGACAATTAACTTCAAGAAAATATAAGTGAAAGATTTTAAAGTCTTTACCAATTGGGTTAACATTGCCCCAATATTCCTCCGTTTGAGGATGCTCAAGAGGATCGCCATAAACTTCTGAAGTGGATGTCAGCAAAATCCTGCAAAAAGAAATTGCTTTAAGACAAAAAAAAAAAAGAAGAATCGAATATAGAAATGATACACATCACCAACACATATGTACACGAAGATAGCTATGTTGACCCTACCTTGCTCCAACCCTCTTAGCCAGGCCCAACATGTTTAATGTTCCAATCACGTTTGTTTTTATCGTCTGTTAGATATTAACTTTGATCAGAATTTATTTACAGTGCTACAAGCAGATTAAGGTTTTGTTTGGGACGGCTTTCTTACTGCAGCACCTTTCTAGTTCAAAAATTAAAAAAGAAGTAAGAAAATCGTCCCAAACGAAGCCTGAAAGATATTCATTGACATAAATAGTACGTAAACCAAGATGGATAACATATTAACATATAGCACAAAACTTTCCAGCGAAGATAGCAAAAAACAAAAAGAAAACAACCATTATTGTGATCCCACAGAGAGGAATCAGATATTCCACTTCATACCTTCACAGGGTTATGCTTGTAGAAAATGGGAGAAGCAGGGCAAGCAAGATGATAAATCCGATCAACCTCTGCAAGAAATGTTTCTGTGACATCTGAAAAGAGAAATAGAAAGATTACACAGATCCCTTCATGTCTCCGGGAACAAAAAAGAGAGTCAAATTATGGGAATTAGAAAGGCTTTTGAAAATTCTAAGCATTGGATTCAAGGCTAAGTGAATCAGAACATGTACTCAAATGAAGTCAGATAAAAAGAATCAATATTAAAAAACAAAGAACTCAAAAGAAAATACCATGTCGAATGAGCTCAAATCTCGGATGACCAATCCACCTCCTAAGGTTGTCCTTCGAACCAGTAAAGAAGTTATCGACGACTATTACCTGGTAAACAAAATTTGTATGGATAAGCTTAGTTGACATTTGATCCTAGTCGTAAAAACAATTAGAGTAGAGACAAATCAAACTGATATTTTATGGGCTGTTTGGCTACAAGCAGGATTTCTTATATCCTGTAAATCCAAATTTAGTAAATCTTGAAAAAATTATTTAGCACAACAGATGTTAAATTTTGCTAAAAATCTTTATGAAATATTTGATTATTTGTTGTAGGATTTACGATTTGTCTAAGGCAAAAATCCTTAAATCTACAAATCCCCGTAAATGAAAGGATATTAAAAATCCCAGATTTATCAAATAATGAGGATAAAATGAGATTCAATTTAAGTAGGATTTCATAAATCCTCTAAATCCGGATTTCAAAAATTCTGAGGGGCCTAAATCCTGAAAACTGTTTGGTAACATTCATGATAAATTTTATTAAATCCCGTGTGACTGTTTGGCTATATAGCAGATTTAATGAGTGGACTCTTGCTCTCGAGCCAACGGATTTCATAAATCCGGCGAAAAACAGGACTTCGGAAATCCGGGATTTAGCACCAAAAGGTGGATTTTCCATCTACAGCGGCTTTCATTGGTGGTGAGATTTGGTTTTGCATTTTAGGCCGTTTGGCTGGATTTCTCTCAAATCCGCCTCAAATCCGGCTGCTACCGAACAGCCCCTTAAAGTCTTCAAAATCCTATTTGGCTGGATTTAAGCTAAATCTTGCTGAAATCCTGACTAAAATAGGATGCGAAACAACCCCTAAAGGAAATGTTCATATATGATCTATGCTAATGATGTAAAATTGGTTGAAAGATTGTTTCACCACAGAAACGAAAGAAAAATAAGCACCTCATTCTTTTCATTTTCCATCAATTTATCCACCAGATGAGATCCAATAAAACCAGCTCCTCCAGTCACCAGAATGCGCAAATTAGACTGTCACCATGAAACCATGTCAGCAAACTCATCAAATGTTTTTTTTTTTACCCCTTTCTTGCCTTTGTGAAGGAACGAAATTGAATAAAAAATAGAAAGAAAGAATTACCTGACAATACTTAGAATATCTCAAAGGTGATGAAGATGGGGGAGGCTTTGTTGTGACTCCATTTCCATTAGCAGTAGCCATCGATCAGATTCTTTAGAACAAAAACCAATCCTGCACAAACACAGATTTCAGAAAATCTCCCATTTCATATCACTCGAAGAAAACGGCATCAAACTTTGATGATTCTTCCACTAAATATTCTTGACCTAAATGCTAAATTTTTTTTGGAAAATAACAAAATGAAGCTAAATTTTCAGTTCTCTTCCTTCAAAATACTTAAAACCAAAGAAGAAGGCTTCGAACCGAAAAATAAATCTTCTTTACCTCCTCCGAGGTAGAAGTTGGATCGATCATACCTTTTATAGATCCATATGAAGAAACCACCAGCATCAACCAATGCAATCAAATTGAATAAACCACGAAAAAAAAAAAAAAAAAACTTGAAGAGCACGCATTGGAGAAGGTATGAAAGCAGCGGCATAGCTAATAAACTTTCTTTGAACTTACGATTCAACCTACGAGAGTCGCACGCTTTCGATTAGATTGGAATTGTTTCCTGGGGTTCGAGCGGGTCTCGAGTATTTGAGAAACACTTAGAATATAAATAGCCACGTAGCTAGTTATACGGTTGTTTCCCAAAGGAGAGGAATTCATATAATGATATAAAAAAATAATCGTGTTTTATCTATAATTAAAACACTTACAATATATATATATATATATATATATATATATATATATATATATAGTTTTACTTTAGACAATTAATAATAACAAATTTATTTTTATGTAGGTTACATGGCTTTTAAAATCGGATCGGCTTGTTGAATCGCGAATTGGCCGGCCGGTAGATTACGATTCATATTAAAACCGCTATCACATAAAACCGGTGTTGAACTTCTCGAACTAGCAGTTCGACCGCCAAACAGTCAAAACGGTCCCCATTTCTTTTGTCGCGTATGTTCTTCGTCCTGTTCGCCTTTTCTTCTTCGACTCTTCCCATCTCGCGAGGTCTCCTTAGAAAAAGAAGTTATGATCCTTTAGACTACACAAGTATTGAATTTATTGACTTTTGGATCCTTAATGATGAGCCAACTCCAAAATTGCATTTAGGAGACCTAGAAACAAAAATTTACAAAGATGATGCAATTCCTATAGATATAGAACCAAACATAACATAAGTAAGATTGTAAAATAACTTATATCTTTTAAGTGTAATATAAAATATAAACTTATTATTTCATATTAATGGTTTGCAGGATGAAGACAATTTAGCTAATACATGTGATGAAGATGACATATCATGTGAAGATGCAGAAGCATTTGTGATTCAAGATTTTGATGGATGGTTACCCATCTTTTGATCTCCCAAATTTAGTTAATGATTATTAGATTCATTAGGAGTGTCTTGAATTTTGAGTTTTTATTGTAAACAGATATAAATAATTGAATGACAATTATTACTTTTTGTTATTCGGTTCGATCCCGATTCGACCGGTATAACCGTGAACATCTCCTTCTGGTTCATTGTCCGGTCCAGTTTTCACAACTTTGGTATGTTATATATATAAAAATAAAAATTTAATTAAAATTAAATAAGAAAAAGCATCAGATTCAACTCAACGATATGTATGTAAATCCGTTTAATATAAAGTTAAAGTATCATTATCTAAATCAAATCCCAAACAGGTTGTTAAGAGTATATGATTAAAATTTCTTATGTAATTATTTATTTTATAATTTTCCTATTAATTGAAACATGGAAGCATGTTAGTTGGTGGACACCGACATCACAGTATTAAATAATATAGATAATATAGTAGTGAAATCATGAATTATATTTTAAGCTATACCCATTGGGTAGGGTACCGGATGAATGTTATCGTGTGACCTACTCAACCTGTTTGGTCCTAGGTCGGTACTGATTAGTCTCGCTAAACCGATATGACCTGATCTATTTTATGTGGTTCATAGTCAAAATAGGTACAGTGAATTAATATTTTATTCGAATAAGGGTCGAATAGGCATTGAATAAAACTCAAATGAGCTTTTTTTTTTATTTTTTTTTATAATTTTTTATATAACATAGTTGGAGCTTATTCGAACGCATTCAAACTTATTTCAACTCTTTTATTGAAGATAATTTGACATTGAACAATAAAATGATTGAATATAGATTTAATTAAACGTTCATACAATTATAAAATAATTAAAACTTATTAGAACACTTAACCTAACATATGTTTGGCTATTTCATTGAAGATAATGTAACATAATTTATGAAATGGTCAAACACATAGTCAGTAAAATGTTTTAAATATGTATTATTCTAAAATTTTCTAAAAATTGTCGACACTTATTCGAACACTTAATCATATATATTTTCGATCCTTTCATCGAAGATAATTTGATGATCGATGAAACGGTCTAACATAGAGTTAATTAATTTTCAAATATGATAGAATGAGTCGTGTAAAATACACCATTTAAATTTTATTTTTTTTAAGTTGACGCATCATTGAACACTTAATTGAACACATAGTCGATCATTTCATCAAAGATAATTTGGCGATCGACATTGAACCTATATTTTGTTGGGAAGTAAAACCAGATAACAAAACAAACAAGAAAAATAAAAAGTGCCGTGAAGAAGGAAGAATACTAAGAATTAATCTAAAAAATTTAAAATTGGGGAAAAATAAAAAATCCATCGGGTCAAGAAGTTCAATATGAAAATTAAAAAAGCTTGTATAGCTCACCTCATTTTTTTTTTGGTCTCTCTTCACTTTTCTCTTCATTTTATACTAAAACAGAAAAAAAATGCATTTTCAATACACCAGCGGGTCTAACACTTCAAACAAAACAAGAAAAACAGGGAAGAAAAATTTCTCATGCTTGACTTGCAACGTTGTAGTACTCCACTCTATATCTTTGAGTCCACCATGCAGCACCGTGACACTTCAGCTTAGCAAACACACACACTCCCCCCCCCCCCCCCCCCCCCCCCCAACAACACAACCAATAAAAAAAAAAAAACTAAAGATTGCAGCACAATAGTGCTTGAGTATACACCACCACGATGTTGTATGATTGTATGAGCAAAAAAATTATTGAGGGGGCTTCACCCTCGAGAAGAGGCATGTTGCCCCCCGAACCCCCCAGCAAGCTCCTCTTCAAACTCGATTGATAGAATTGAGATCTGGGTCAACAATACACCCCGATTGATTGACACAATCATATTCCACACAAAAGTAACATATTTAATTGTTCCTTCAAATATAATTTTATGATCAAAGGAAAGTTCAAACATAGAATTGGTTAAGTATTCAGATAGGAATAAATAAGGTTCTTAAAATACATTTAAAAAAAAAAATAACAAAACAAGCATACTTATTCTAATACTTAATTGAACCAATGTTATGCTAAAAAAAACAAAATAAAAAAAGAAAAAAGAACCAATGTTCATCCATTTTATCAAAAGTGATATGACAATCAATCAAATGGTCGAACATAGGGTCAATTAATTGTTTGAATATAATCGAATAAGATGCTTCTAAGATAAATTTATATCAGGACTATTCTGGCTAACCTGAATAGTTGGGAAAAGAAATAACGATTGGACTGCAGTTATAAATGGCTTCTTGGATGGTCACGCACTTTGTTTTGAGGCTTTTCTTTGCTCATCCTGTTCCTGGACACCTTTTTATCGTTTTTCTAGCTAAGTTGCGTATTTTTGCTGGACATTGAGGATCAGGTCGGACTGGCAGTCTTGGCTATGAATGTTGCATGTCTGTTTATTAAGATCTTCTCCCTCGTTTCTTTGGTGAAATCTACCATGCCTCTTAACAATGCAATTCTGGGCTGCAATGAATTTCAGATTTTGGCCATGTCTGATTTCACGCGATTTCTCTGTTTTCTCTCTTTTTTTTTGGGACATTTAGGCCATTTTAAGGCAAACTCACACACACAACGCATACACATAGACTCGAACCCTGGACCTCTTAGTTGGAAGCCTAAGCTCTCAACCAATAGGCTAAGGAGAGTTGTGTTCTGTTTTCTCTCTTGCCCATCGATGTCACATCTGTGCTCCTGCCCGTTAAGGAATTTTGAACTTTCTTTTTTGTTTATCCCATAATATTCCATCCATAAATTTTCTCTTGCCCCTTCGTGCCTTCGCTTTCAAAGACATATGAGACAGCAAAAATAGGAACTTATCCAGCACTTGTAAACAAAAAACTCCACATTCCTTCTACTTCGAAGCTTCTTCAGAGCAGATGTAAAAGTGAATTTGAAGAGTTAAATACTCTGTGCTGCTCATAAATCAACTTCTGATCGCATAGCGAAGTGGATATCGCGTTAGACTCCGAATCTAAAGGTCGTGGGTTCAAATCCCACTGTGATCGAATGACTCCAGAGGTTTTTATTTTTTGTTCAAGATAAGGCCTTAAAATTTTCGAGAGAACTCAGTTCATCAGAATGTTGGTCCCTCTTCGCTTTATACACAATATGGACAACAGGTTCTGCTGTGTGGCTGTGGTTTCTCAGCAGCTTTCACATGCAGTATTGCGAGAAAAAAGAAATTTCTGCATAAGCCTAGTAAATTTGCAAAGTCTACTCATGATTTAAATGAAGATATTTAAAAATTTTGATTGTTAATGATGACAATTATTAGAATAATGTGGATGCAAATGAGAGGAATGTGAAAATCTATTAGATGACTGCTACATTATCATTTGCATGATTTTTCTGTATTGTTTTTTTATTGAAATTGATGTCAATGAATTGCAAATTTTGAATCTATATATGTAATTTTATGAATTATATATAATATTGTGGGCTCCGAAAATTCGGCCCCGGCCTCCCCGCTTTTCTTTTTATTCGACGAGGAAGTTTTAACTGAATAAGTTCCGAGGTAAATTTTGGAAGGCAGATGGGTTTGTAGATAAGACACTACTCAGATATTTCACCCTCATTTTGTGAGGACTTTATGATCTGAGTTATGGTTTCCTATAGGCGCAAGCCCCTATAGTTAAATACCCCTCTCGATCACGAGAGAGAACTTTCGATTAAGGCTAGTCGTCAATCAGATACGTAGAATATACGTGTCATCTGGCATATAGTAGTAGCATGGGTTTGGGATTTGAAGAGTTTGGAGATTTGGAAATTTTGATATTTAAAATTGAAATTTCACCATCTTGCACTTAAAGCGGATGGTGGGGGAATAGATGATAGACCCGATCAAGATCCCATGGTTCCGTCATCCCGGGCCATCGTGGTCCCTGGTCTACTTAATTAGTCAGAGGAGGTAGCCGACCCAACCTGACAGAAGGATCCTTGTCGGCAGCCATGAGTTGCTTCGTCTAAGGGGACCTTGTAGATATGTGTTGGATATTTACCTAAGGGGGCAAATTTGATCCACCTTAGCTAACAGAGGGCTTTGTGCCCTATCGATCATATATTATTGATTCATATATCAAGGATTTTATGCCACTAAGGAACGTATTGGCGCTGGTCATATCCGGTATTTCGTGGTGCCATTTGGCGGCAAAACCACTCGGTTCAGAGCGCCCGAGTCATAACCGTTTATCCTGCGGTGCCATTTGGCGGCGAACCGCCGGTTAGAGGAGACGTACCACGTCCTTATTGGTAGGAGATCCTTGAGATATGAATCAATAGGATATGATTGATAGGACACAAAGCCCTCTGTTAGCTAAGGTGGATTTAAATTTATCCCCTTAGGCAAATACCCATCCCAGGTCTACAAGGTACCCTTGGACGAAGCAACCCAGGCTGCCAACAAGGATCCTTCTGTCAGGTTGGGTCGACTACCTCCTCTGACTAAGTTGACCAGGGACCACGATGGCCCGGGACGACGGAACCATGGGATCTTGATCGGGTCCATCATCCATTCCCCCACCATCCGCTTTAAGTGCAATATGGTGCAATTTTCAATTTTAAATATCAAATTTTCCAAATCTCCAAACTCTTCAAATCTCAAACCCATGCTGCTACTATATGCCAGATGACACGTATATTCTACTATTTGATTGATGACTAGCCTTAATCGAAAGTTCTCTCTCGATATCGAGAAAGGTAATTAACTATAGGGGCTTGCGCCTATAGGCAACCATAACTCAGATCATAAAATCCTCACAAAATGAGGGTGAAATCTCTGGGTAGTGTCTTATTTGCAAACCAATATGCCTTCTAAAATTTACCTCGGAACTTATTCAGTTAAAACTCTCTCGCCGACTAAAAAGAAAAGCGGGGAGGCCGGGGCCGAATTTTCGGATCCCACAGATTTCTGGCGACTCCGTCAGCGCGATTCCTGGATCCGATGGGTTCCTGGTATGATTTTGAGTCCTTTTTTTTTCTTCTTTGGGCTAACATGAAGGTCAACAAATATATACTTGCAGGAGAAAATTCTTGGTTGAAGGATATCTTACATTCCCTTCATTTTTTTTTTCGCAATGGAGTTTCTGAGACCGTTATGATTTGAAACATAATGGTTTTCTCATGTCACAAATAATATTTGGTCCACAGTGACTCTTATTTGCAGCTATGAAACATGCCATAATGGAAGAAGGAATATGAACAGTTCTTACTGCCAAGTCAAGCGGGTTTGCATTTGCACCAAAAGTAGTAAAATGGAGAAAAATTTATAGTAAAAAAGGTAACGAAACCTGTCTAATTAATCTTTGTAGAGAGTTAACATAACCAAAGGAAAGTAAAAGAGCAGCTAAGGAGAGCATTCCCTTTTTATCAAAACAATTAACAAACAACAAAATTTATAAAATTCTTGCATTTGAAATATTTTATAGCTAACTTAGGTTGAGGAACATTTTGTTTGATTGAAAACGAACAAATTTTGAATACATCAAAATTAAACTCAAAGTAAATTTAAAATTACTTTATTCTGCATTATTTTTTTATCAAGACATTAAAAAATTCTTGAATTTGAAATTTTTTTTTTTTGGTAAACAAATTTGAAATAATTTACACTCACATTTCATCAAAGATTGTTTGGTTTGGAAAAAGGCATGTAAAGTATTCCAAATGTAAGAGTGTTGAAAATATTGGTGTTTATTCTAAAGCAAAAGAAAAACAAAGTAAACTTTTGTATATTTGGAATTCATGATCTAAGTTCAATATTAATGTATTTAAAAATTGTCAGAATTGTTTGATTGTCAAATACATCATAAGTTCTCTACCATTATTATTGTCACTGTCATAGCACACGCTAGCTGCCAACAAGGGTCGACCACAACCCACCAGTTCTATCGCCCACCAGCCACTATAGGAAAGGTATTGAATGAAATATATTAGTCTTTGAAGCTTTTAAAGCTTTCTTCTTCTTCTTCCCTGGATTGTGAATCCCCAAATCCTTCTTGCAGGTCGAATCTTCCGACGATCCACTACATCAATTAGTCTATTACTATTTACTAGTATGCATCACAATTCACACATCAATACAAATAAATCGGCTAACTAAAGAAGCAGCCGGCAGAAGTAATGGAGTAAAATGACAGCCCTTACCTCTCTGATATCCGCTTCTCCCGAACAATTCAATCCCCTCAATCCTATTTCACCCTCAAAAATCACCACCGACGGCGGAATCAAACTCTCAGAAACTAAGCAGCTCCACGCGGCTCTTGTTAAAACAGGCCTTGCTCACTCCCGCTCCTCCCAGAACAGCCTCGTTGCCCTTTACGCCGCCGCCGCCGGCGACCATGACTCTAGTGCCATGGACTACGCCCTCCTCGTCTTCTCCCGCGCCCCGAAACCTACCGCCTTCATGCGGAACACCATCGTCCAGTCCCTCGCCAACTCCAACTCTCCGGCCAGCGCCATCCGCTTCTACTGCGCCGCCCATTTCGCTGCCATTCCCCCAAATCACCACACCTTCCCCGCGCTCCTCAAAGCCTGCTCCCGCCTCCTCGCCCTTCACGAAGGCCAGCAGATGCACGCTCACTCCCTCAAATCCGGACTCGAGCAAACCCTACTCGTCCGCAACGCCCTCGTTAACCTCTACTCGACATGCGGCTACCTGACCGACGCCCGCCTCCTGTTCGATGAAATGCCCGAGCGAGACATCATCACCTGGAACTCCCTGATCGCGGGTTACTCTAAGCACGGCCTCTCCCAAGAAGCCCTTGACCTCTTCCGCTCTCTACAAAAAGCTCCCCACCCGCGCCCGGACGCAATCACCGCCGTGAGCGCGCTCTCGGCATGCGCCAACGCCGGAGCGCTCGAGCTAGGCGAGTGGGTTCACGCCTACGCCAAAAAACACGAAATAGACCAAGGGATCACCGTCCGCACCGCTCTCATCGACATGTACGCCCGGTGCGGGGCAATCGCCCGAGCCGCGGAGATCTTCGAACTCACTCCCCGGCGAAACCTCGTGTGCTGGACTTCGATGATCACCGGGCTGGCGGTTAACGGTCGGGGCCTGGAGGCTGTCAACCTTTTCGACCAGATGGTTCAGTTCGGGATCCGGCCTGACGGGATCGCATTTGTCAGCGTGCTCTCGGCGTGCAGCCACGCCGGGATGGTCGAGGATGGGCAAAGATTGTTCAACGACATGAAAACGCGGTTCGGATTGGATCCCAGAACAGAGCATTACGGGTGCATGGTAGATCTTCTCGGTCGAGCCGGCCGGCTGGAGGAAGCGCTTGGGTTGATCCGGAGCTCGCCGACGGGGCAAAGTGAAGCAGTGCTTTGGCGAACGCTTCTGGGCGCGAGCAGCGCGCGAGGCGAGGTTGAGATGGCGGAGCTGGCAATGAGTGAGATTGCGCGGGTGGAGCCGCGACACCATGGGGATTGGGTGCTGATGGCGAATGTTTACGCGAAAGCGGGGAGGAAGGAGGAGGCGGCGAGGGTGAGGAGGGAGATGAGGATAAAGAAGATTGGGAAGGAGCCCGGATGCAGTGTTATTGAGGTGGGCGGGAGGATATACTCATTTACGGTGGAGACCGAGTAGCATTGGTTTGGTGAAGGAGATGATGGGGAGGGTGGTGCTTCGGCCGCGATGGGACTGATGAGGGCGGCAATGGAGAACACGGTGAGGAACTGAAGAACTTACGGGTGTGCTTAATTGGATTGCCATGAAGTCATTTGGAAGAATCAGTTGACATTTGACTAGTCCTTCCGTATAGGCCTGCAAATGAACATTTTGTGTCAATTATTATTATTATTATTTAAATAGAAATCAATTTATTTCAATGAGAGGATGGCTCATCGAAAAAATAATTATGAAAATTTACAGTTTAACAATATGTGATTCAATTCCAAATACTTGTGGTTAAGATATAATGTTTTTTTTTCTTTTTTCCATTCAAAATGACATAAGATAATTAAGAAGTTAAAATGGTTACTTCTTTCAAAAATTATATAGATATTGTTGAATTCAAATTTAATTATTGATGAGATCAAACTATTCTAGCAGGTCAAAAAAAAACTATTCTGGCAGGTCAACCTAATCAGTTAAAGGCGGGTCATAATGAAAATGTAGAGAGAGAGAGAGAGAGAGAGTAGGGGTCTGTGGTTAACAAAGTATCCACTAATAGAGAAAATTTTAGGGCTCAAGAAAAAAAAAGTTCGATGTACTTGAATATTCTGAGGGAGAGCCAATGAGAGGTAGCGGTGAGTGATAGTTTGAAGAAAAATTCTTGATTCGCTCAGCGCAAGGATGGGGCAGAATCATGTTCCAGTGATGGTGGACAATTGTCCAAAAAAAAAATTATAATGAGGGGCAATTTTGGAAATTCCTTTTCCCCTAAAAAAATTATTTGCCCCACCCCTTAGGTGTGGTCGACGGACACCATCCAGGAACGAATATAGATGAGCCAAGTCAATTTTCACATAACTCTTATGTTTCTCTTTGAATGACCAACATTCTGGGCCATAAAGCATTTCATGTCTAACCACCATCTTATAGAATTTTCCTTTAAGTTTGAGTTGTGATTTTCTATCACACAACAACCCTGATGCATTCCTCCACTTCGTCTATCCAACTTGAATTCTACTAATAATATCCCGATCTATTTCACCATCACTTCGAAAAATATACCCAAGATATCTAAATCATATACTCTTATTAATGACTTGATCGCTCAAAGTCACAAACCCCCCACTACATCTATTGCTACTAAAATTACACTCCATGTATTCGATTTTAGATTACTCAAATGAAAACTTTTAGACTCGTTCTAAGGTTGACATCCATAATTTAAATTTATCTTCGGATCCCTCTTTCGTCTTATCAACAAGAACAATATCGTCAGCGAAAAGCATACACCATGAAACATCCTCTTACAAATCTCTAGTAAGAACATCCATGGCTAATTAAAGCAAAAGGATATGGGCTTAAGACTGATCCTTGATGTAATCCAATTGAAATTGGAAAAGACTTTGCTAAACCACCATGTGTTTGAACACAAGTAACAACTCTAGCATGCATATCCCTAATGATTTGAATATAAGCACACTTCTCATTGTATTCAGGCCATACAGCTTGTTGCGTCCAGAGAATGCTCTAGCATTAACTCAATGTATTAAAGGATTCATGTCATTATTATTTGACAAGTTTTACGCTGATTGTTGACTACCTAATGCAACCCTCCACTTCGCCTTAAACTTAGACTCATTTGGAATTATTTACACTTGCATTTGATCACTTTTGAAGTGCTAGATTTTCTTCATTAAGATACATAATTTGACTATAAATTTGATAAAGCCGGGTATTCGAATGATTCTAAATTTAATTCTAGAATTTTTAAAATATTTTATCATGATTTTCTTAAAGCACACCAAACTTATTAGATTTATCTTTTTGACACATTCATTTTAATTATAAACATATACAATTCAATGAATTTTATCTCTTAAATAATAACAAAATTATATTTTTGGATTCTTGAATTCAGCTTATTTATACTTTGATTATCATTCGCCCATCTTCAAATTTGCTGAAAAATATAATTCGGTAGATCTCATGACAAATTTAAAAGTTTCTAGTTGAAACCATTTGATGCTTCAAAAACTAAAAATTTATTAAAATCTTTATTTTATCAAATGAATTACGGGTAGCATGCCTGACTTAAGATTCCGATTAAAAAAAAAAAGATTCAGATAATCTGCATCAGATAAATTATGTTTCAATTAAAAATTGCACATCGCCGGTGTAATAATCATATTTTCTTTCTTAAAATATTTATTAAATGAAGATTATTATTATTTTTTTTAATTTTAATTTGACTTATACAGTAGAGCATATTAGTGACTTATTCAATCATTGAGTTGACCTTGATTTGTTGGTTGAAAATTTTGAGTACAAACTAAAAAGTCTGGGGGTTTGAATCTTACTTATATGATATGTGTGTAAATTTATGTTACTGGCAACATAGTGACACCGGAGCTGAGCCATTAATTGATTAACTTCAGGATAGTTTAATCTATTTGGTAGTTTATATGGCTACATAGGATTAGTGTTTGCCTATGTTGTGTGCAGCCTAGTAGGTTGCTATGATTTGCCTATAAATACATAGCCATTAAGTATAATGAGGCAGATTTTTAGAAATGAATAATATTTGAGTTTAGTTTGTTTGTTTTCCTGTATCCTAAGAGTGAATCTTAGGTGGTGGATCCTTCCTCCAAAAAATTCTTGGAGTGGTACTCGACAACCGTCACCGGATCGTCGACATGGATTTGTCGAGCCCCCTCCAGTCCAGAGTCACATAGGCTTCATTTAGGATGACTTTCTAGTTACTTCTTAAATTAACTTTTTAGTATAAAACATTTAATTTTTTACCAAAAAACTACTTTAAAAAACAACAAAAAAGATATATCCAAATGAAACCTTAATCTCAAATCTAACAATAGCGTGGCCCTAAATTTCCAAAAGAAAAAAACAAAAACTAGAAACGGCAAAATGCTATATCTAACCAATACATGCACCAAATAAGCCCTGCGGCATACTGCCAAAGATCGAACTCTTCTCTTCCAACATACCAAAAGTCAAAGCCCACGTCGGCAAATTGCGTGCAAGACACGCAATATTCTCATTTTCAAATAGAAAAAAAATCATATCTTATAAGTATTTACTAATCAGTACCTATTGCATTTAAATTTGAATTTATAAATAATAATTATTATTCTCAATTTATATTAAATAAAAATTAATTCCATAAATTATTATAAGAAATGCACTTTCTTATAATTAGCTAATGAAACAGAGCTTATAAAAATTAGTAAAATTAGATATAAATAATGAGTAAAGAGAGAAGAATGACAGACAAAAACCAGCCAAAATAAATGTTCAAATTCAACCAACCCTTCATCTTCTCAATCACAAATTAATTTAGTCTCAAAACACAAAAAACCAAGAAATTATAGCCGCCCAAGCTAGCAATTGATCTGCTCGAATCCACCCTAAAACAAAGGGAAAAAAATAAAATAAAGAGATTGTAGCAGAATACATTAAATCTCTTCAAAACCAGTTATATTAAACCCAGTTAGCTCCGGTTATCACCAAAGAAGTTGAAGAACGGCAAGATCTCACAACCTTCTTCATCCTGACCTTCTTCTTCATTACAGTTAGCTTCCATGGAGGAAGAGGTAAGAGAGCTTCCTGTCTTCTCCATTATGCCTGTTGGGTGCAGGGGGAAAAGCTGCAGTGTTTCATAGGAGCATTGGTGGGTACTGGAGATCGGTTCTAGCGATTTCTTTGAAGCCATTTCCATTCTTTGAAGCTCTGGTAATGGCCTCTTTATAGCTCCTCCGGTTAAGTAGACGTGAGGGTACTGTGGCTTATACAAACCAACTCCTTCAACTTGAGGAACTCGCAGGCAAAACGGAGCACAAAGAACTGTATAGACAAGAAAAAAATTAAAAGCCTTTGATGCGAAAACGATAACCTTTCTTATTAAAACATAAATCATGCAGAATCCAGATAAAAACACTAAAATGAAAATATAATTGTAGAAGAAAAAAATTTAAGTTTGATAATTGCATGCAAGTAATGAATAATTTTATATAATGGAGAAATTATTTTGTGCTTAAAATGTTTAAGTGCGCTTTATATATCTATTATTAATTATTAAAGTTTTTTGCAGAATAATAATCAAGATATCCAAAGAAATAATAATAATAATAGTAATTGGTTCAATTCAACTCACTATCTTAACGAACAAAAGTAGCAGATCAAAACAAAAGAGTTCCTAAAAACCAAGCAAATTACAAACGAAACAAAAGCCATGCCTGAGACTACTTTACAATAGTCAGGATAAATCAAACTCATATGCTATATAAGAAAAAATTAAATAAAAAAAATAAACAAAATCTTTTCAGAAGTACCTCTCACACTCACAAACTTCAACACTATTTCAATGCATTTGCACTATTTCTCTTAATGAGATTAACATAAGAGAAAGTGACGAGTAAATAACACATTCAAATTTTTTTTTTTCTTTTTTGGTATACAAACCATTGCTGCAGGATATAGCCGGTGGAGGTGGTGGTGGTGGCGGTGGCGGAGGGTGGCGGTGGATGAGACGGCTGAAGTAAGCAAAGCTCTCCTGCTTCTGCTTCTGTCGCTGACGAGCTTTGTGATTTTGAAACCAGTAGAAGACGTTTTTCCCTTCGATGGAGCCGTACTCTCTAAGTTTTCCGGTGATATGCTGTATTTGATCAGCCGTTGGAGTGCGGATGCCTTGCCAGTAAAGACCTTCCAGAATGGCGATCTGTTCCTTGGTTGGATTCCATCTTGAGCTCGGTGAAGCTGCCGGCAAGGAAGAAGAAGGAGGCGAGGGGGGCTTCTCCTCTTCCATAGCTTCTCTTTCTGTACTCCCAATAGGCTTACTAGAGTTTGTGGTTTATGAAGTGCTTTCCTTGGTTTTATAGCATGTTGAGGAAGTTGATTTGATTTATTTTGAAGATAATATTTGGCTCTTATGCCAGCTTATACTTTCTCTCTCCTTATTTTAACAACTTTGAAGATTGCGACGATATTTTATCTATTTGATTTGGATTGCTTTTTTATTTTAGAAATATTTAAGCTACTAAAAAATTATATTTGAATGTATTTTTTTTAATAAATGTAGACAGAATTAAATATCATATTCTGGAATCAGTGTTAGATTGAGTTCTAATTTCGATGGATTTTTTATGATTTCGATTAAATTTGAGCATTTTGAACTTCGTCGATGTTTACTGCAGTTTTATAAGTTTTGACTTGATTTTTCAAATTTTGATTCAAGTTTTTTTTTGGTATTAAAAGAAAATAATGGAAAATTAAAATGCTTCGAGTTTTAAGTATTTTTCTTTTGTGTATTTTTATTATTTAGTATTTTTATATTAATTCAAAGTCAATTAGCATTTTTAGAAATATTGAGCACTTAGACTCTGCATGTCTCGAGATATTATTACGTGAGGTCATCGGACACCATTCGAAGGTGTATCAGGAAGCCATATCATTATTTTGCTATGTACTGGTGTTGTGTACCGGGTGATGTGACATATTTTGATTCACCTCCGAATAGTCCGGTGATTGCAAGTAATAAATTTTTCATAGTCTCACACTTTGCATATTGAAATATTTGTATGAAATTTGGGGAGTTTTTTTTTTTTGACTTTTTCTATGCTAAGAAAACCATCAATAAAATTTAATATATATTTAGATGATAACTTTTATATAAATTTTTTATTTGATGTTTAAAAATATTTTTTCTTGAAAAATATATTTAATATTGTGGTTAAGTACTTTTAAAAATATTAAAAAAACTGTCCCAAATGAGCCCTAAATAATCTAATAAAAAGAGAAAATAACATTATTATAATTACGAGTAAATGTTAGATTTTTTTTTATAAAAAATTTAGAGATGAAATACAAATTTGATTAAAGTAAACTTAAAGGTACAACTACATAGTTCTATAAAGTTTATTATGAAGTTGCCTAATTAAAAAAGCAACTTCGGATGGCCTAAATTTTTATAAATTGATGAAAATAATAATAAAAAATAATAATCAAATAAAATTTTAATTGCAAAGCAAGAAGAAACCTGTCCTCTAAATCTCCAAATTTCGATAATGATTTTTATAATTTTGATCAATTAAATTAATGTATGGCACTCCCACATTTTTTATAATGAGAGACAATTTAATCGAATTAGGATATATACATAGTGCTCATTAAAAAAAATCTCAATCAGAACAAACAAAGACATTTAAATCCAAAATTTGCCAAATCATGGAAGAAGACAGAGAGAGCGCGCGCGCGTGAGAAGGCTTGCCTGGCCTTGTCTTGAAGCGGAGTGATTCAAAACATAAGAGAAGAGAAAAATAAGATATAGGGTTTGACATGCGTATCGCTTTTGGGGAGAAACAGCTCGGAAAACATGACAGGAAGCGGCTGAGGAGAAGGGATTGGGCACTGAAGAGTGCATTGAATGGGGTGAAGGAAAGGAGAAGGGAAGGAATGGGTTTGTAGGGTTTTATTTTGGGAAGGTTGGTCGGTTTACTTATAAGCTTTCACAATCTCTCTCTCTATCTCTATATATTCCTCGGGAATGATACATATTCTTTCCTTGTGCTGTTGGTCTTCTTATTGTTGGATCCTTTTTGGGGTTTATTTCTTTGTTCCTTTTGGAGAAGAGAAAGTTTGGTGGTTCAAACTTGCCAGCGTGTAAAATAAATTGATAATAGTTAACCTAACCGCACAAGTAGTTAATAAAATAAAAGTCTAATTATTTTTTAATATGACTAGTAACTAATATTTAGCCAAATTATGATGATAATTCAAAATGGATAAGGCAGTTTAGATTTTAATTAATTATTTTAAATTGATATAATCTAGTTAGTTTTGTTAAATGTGACAAATATATAGGCTTTAAATTTTAGTGAAGTACCATCTGGTATGACATATTACTCGTTACAATTAGGGATGTCAATATTTGAAACGACCCGAAAACTCAACTTGAAGTCTACCTGAAAATTATGGGTTATGGTCAACTAGTTTGTGAAACGGGTCAGGTTTGGATTCAACAAATCGGTCCTTTTCGAAAATCGGGTCGGGTTCGGGTTGACCCGGAAATAACTCGGATTAACCGCGCTGACTGCTCTGCTCGCGTCGCGTCTGCCCCCATGATTGCGTCGCGTCGAGTTTGCCAGCGTCGCCGCTGCTGTGCCGCCTAAACGAGAATGTGTAAATTACAAGTCGGGTCAGGTCAACTCGGTAACCCGTGCAGGTCGGGTCTGTGTTAAAATATTTGACCTGCTTGCAAAAACGGTTCGGGTCGGATAGGGTTTCGGGTTCGACCTAAATCTCACCCGTGACCCTATTTTGACTGCCCTAGCTGCAACGAAGTCTATGACTAAAGTGAACTTACCATAGGCTTTGGTGACATGATGATTACTGCATAAATGAAAATTATTTTATAGTTCTTCAGGAGAATAGATGTCATGTAAGTGTCATTAAAGATAGTTGTAGACTTGTTTTGATGCGATGATGCGATAAAATTTGTTGTGTTAGTATTAATGTGATGGCTTTTACAAAACCAGTGAAAGTAGCTAGTGATGCAGGTTTTAATGCAGTATTGTACACCATAGATATTGAAGGTTGTGGCATAGGTCTTGATGGAGGAGGTAGCTATAACACGTCTAATTATAAGACCCAGTTGTGATACAATTAAGCTTAATGGTGATCCTTATGACAAAATTTTTAGGCAACCTTTTGAACTTAAAATTCTTTCCAAATGAGCTAAATTAGGAGTTCAACAACAACATAAAGCCTTATTCCCACTAAGCGGGTCGGTCTATAGAATCTTTTTTCTCCATTTTGTCTCATTAAGAGTTAAATTTTAAATTAAATCTAATAAAAATAGGTCATTTTTAACTTTTAAATTAAATTATGAATGCTGATGTGCCTCATTTCACATGCCACCCTCCAGCAGATCATGGAATTTGCTTAATCAATGAACTATAATTTCTTTTTTTTTTAGAGAATTTTTGTAACTTAAATTCAGCAAAAGAAAAAAAAAAATGTAATTTCTTCAATGCTTTGAACGCCTTCAAAAGGAGATGTTAAAGAATGGAGAATTAGGGCGGTTTATTATCGCTTGAGTTGTGTGGAAAATACGTAAGGAATTATATTTATTACTGTGAGTAACAGTGGCATGATTTACATTGACAATTAATAAAGTTATAATTCAGTGAAGTGATTATGCCAGCGGAGCTACGGGAAACGTAGTTTAAATTTAAGTCTATTGTAATTGAAAGTTCGCAACTATTTCAAGTTCATGAAATTCACCAAAAGCAGCAGTAATCAACACGCAAAGCTACAGATTATCAAATAATAAAATTTTTCAACATTTTTATCTGGTTTTCATATTTGATAAAAGGATCATTTCCCTATAACCAAAACTATACTCCCCAAATAAATAAATACATGTATAAACAAAATTAAATTTACGTGTGTTGTGTATAATTAATTACAAAAAGAAGATTTTCATATAATTCTTTTTTTATTGTTGTGTCATTGTGCAATAAATGAGTATTTTTGAGGGATTACATACATACCACTTTATTTCATGATATTTACATATATAAAAATTAAAATATTAATATTACATACATACCATCCATAAAATAAATATATGTGTATGAGTGATAGGAATGAAATATATGAGTGTTGTATATAGGTGATCAACTTGTTTTAGATGTTAAATATGTAAATAGTATGAAATAAAATAAAGCCGTATATATGTAAATCCTACTAAAAATAAATTGTTGTATTAATTTTATTCACATTTGGAGCTTCATACAAAAATATTTTAAATATGAGCCAAAAATATTTTAAAAGTAGCAGTTTTCTGTATGACTCGCTAGTAAATCTTTGAATAAGTTGTAGATAAATTACAATAAACTATTAGCAGAAAAAAAAAATCTCGCGTACTCTTTCTATTTATATGTTCAGTTGGTATTCATCGAAGATCGATGGAATATCTTTTTATGAACAATCGCCGACTGATGAAGCATGCAATGCTTTTCACTAAGCGCAAGAAATCCGTTCTAATGGCTGCGTTAGAGATTTTGTTGGAATTCGAAGCTAGAAGAAAGCAATAGTATCCTTTTAGGAAAATTTTGAGAAGAGACACCCACGATGAAATTATGAAAAGAAAGATCAGAGAATGAAAAATATTAGGAAAGAAGAATACGGAAAGAGGGCAAAACCGGAGGAAGCAGAGTGGAAAAAGGATGTCGGTGTGTGGTAGTCAGCGACTTCTTATCGACAAACTCGAAAGAGAGAGAAAGAAGAGATAGATAGAGAGAGAGAGAGAGTCATGGCTTTTCTTTCTCTCTCTATCCCTATCAGTTATTGGAGGCAGAGAGAGTAGACCGTAGGAGAGAAAAGGCCGGAGCTAAGCCTACATCTACGTCTGTGAAAGAGTGGTTACCGGGAAATGGAGAACCTTTTGGCGTTAGCCTGGCCGGAATGTGAGAGGTTGATCAGTGATACTCCAAATCTCTCATTCTCTCTCCTCCATGCAAAAAAAAAACAGTAAAGTTGCTTGCTTTCTTTTGGAATAAGGAAAGAGAAAGCAAGTAGGTTGATGTCCCGATGAGAGAGAGAGAGAGAACGAGGGGTTGGAATGAGCAAGCTGGACGGCAGTTCCCATGCAGTTTGGTTCAGCAACGCGAATGGCGATAACTACGGAGCGCAGCGCCGGCCGACTATTCCTGGAAGTGGGTGCTGATCAGATTGGGGGCGGGCCGGGCGGCCACCGGAGGTGACTTTGAGAGGCCCTTTCAGGGGCGGATCCAGCCTTTTTTT